AAGGATGATATTATTAGAATTTGGGTGTGACCTGATTTCCTTATTTGAAGTATTGAAGAATTCTAATTGTAGTGATTATCAAGAAGAATTCAAGTTTGAAATGCTATGGAATCCTATATCAAGTTGAAGTTCTATTTTGGAAACCCATTGGGAGTTGCAAATTGATATTAGACATGAAGAAGAGTTCGAAATGGAGAAAAACACTTTGAAAGCATGTTTTGAAATATTAAGTGTAGCGCCTAGGAGCTGTTACAGTACCTGATCACGATTTTTCTCTTGTACTTCGTTTTGGACTCGATTTTTTGACATCCTACTTCATCAACATCTCTACCAAAAGGGTTTGGACGTCCCCTACATGTTCCCTATAAATACTAGTTTTTCTATACAATTTTTGTAACAATTACATGTGATAAAATAGATTACTAGAATTATATGATCTATTGTAATTTTCTCTCTTCTCCATTATTTTTGGTGTGATAAAATTTTTTAATTCATCTGCCATATTCTTGTCTTCTTTCATTCTTTTACTTAATCATATACTTCATTATTATTTGTCATATAATTTTAACATTTCAATCCGGTGATTAACGTCCAACAAGTGGTATCAATCCTAACAATTGTTAATTAGTAGCTATCCAACTTTTGAAAATAATATTTCAACGAGACTTCAACAACTCATGATAACGTGCAAACATTGTGTGTTGCAACAAGTTTTCTTAAGGGGTATCAGTGGTTGGACCATTTTCCCCTTTATAAAAAGAGCACTCTCCAATCACATTATTGACTTGCCGACAAAAATTGACAGAAATCGTGAAAGAGGGATTTGACTAATTTGTCAAATGTTGGAGATAAAACGAAAAAAAAAAAGAGAAATTTTGTTGGGAGCACAATTACCACTTTCACCAAAGGTTGAAGAATAAATTTAAAATTTACCCTATTTTGAGTCGTAAAGTTAAGTAATATTTAAATAATCATTCATCGCTTTGTGTTTGGCTCAAAATTGCCAAACTAATTATTGTGACTGTTAAAATACTTAAACTTCTGTGTCCATCGATACAGAAAATTCAAAGTTTCACACTCCTCATTTTTGCAGAAGTTTTACTATTACCAGTTTCGCCAGCATCCGCTTCCCCTCCCCATCCTTTTAATCTCTCTTTTGCGACATAAGCCTACAATATGCATAACAAAGCACTCTTAGAAATCGATGCTATACATTAATTGTGAATTATTGGCTCGAAAAACTCTGGTTCCTGCATGCGATTTAGCACGTACCTCTTTATTCCAGTCTGTGACACACATCATCCAGAGTAATAGGCAGGACTGTAGGCATAAACCTAGCAACATTCCATACCAAAGCCCCTGAAGAATATCAAACCGATAAATAATTGATCGTTCCATTCTACACAAGAACTGGTTAAACAATAACACGACTATTTATAGATCATCATAATTGATTTGCACAAGATATCACGGAGATTGTATAAATTACACCAAAAGTAAGTAATAACGTGTATAAATAGTCACCTCGATGTCCATTTTGAACTTGTAGGCCATCAAAACTCCCAAAGGAACACCTATCAGGAAGTAGCATCCAACATTTATGAAGGCAACTGGAACTTGCCACCCTGCCCCAATTGCCACTCCTACAATCTCTAACTAATTAATCCTATAGCTTTGACAAAACATGATAATGGAAGGATTCAACTTCAGAACTGATATAAGCATTGAAAGAAGTTGGAAATTGATGAATATATACCAGTGAGAGCATATTGAAAATTTGTAAAGAGTATGCATATCCCCAGCAATGGCGTGAGCTCTTCGACAAGGTGCTTAACTTCTGAACTGTTTGAAAACATTGCTGGGTACTGCTTCGTGGTGACCATTAGGATAAGAGCGAATAAGAAACTGATAAGAAGAGAAGTGATCCCAGCAACAACTGCTGAGAATTTTGCACTTCTCGGGTGTCCAGAACCTAGCTCATTCGACACTCTCACACTGCACACATGTTTAAGTTGGTTGAGACTTGAGAACTTTGCTCTCTATTTGGGAAATGATACAAAAGGCTAATATTATGTATGTTTAGTACACAGTTGTGGACATTGTGTTAATTTACACACCTAATGGCAGCATGGAATCCAAGACCCACCATGGAGGTCCAACTCAATATATTTATACTGCACAATGGAAGTCACATGAGTAATTAGTCATGAACAATTATAGTAACAGCAATATGATCTTGAAATGTGATTTAATTCTTCTATTCCTTGCTGTGACCAAAATCATTGTTAGCTTATTTCATTTCAGAAAATACTGAAAATCTCGAGTCCACTTAGGTTCGAAGATGGAGAAAAGAACCAAACAATTATACATCACCAACTAACGATCAGATGAAAGCGATATTATAAATTTAATTCGGTTAACATCCGTTCTAATGATGCGATTGATAACTGCTTAGTGCATATAATTTTCTATTTTCTTGCATCATAGTATCTAGATAGGGGAATAGAAAATCTTTTACATAGATTTGTTTATGTTCATTGCCTTAATATTTCTTCTAAAAGATTGTGTGACAATGACATTTTAGATTTTAGCCACATAATTTTATAGAAAGGAGTTGACAAATAAAACATGACTCACCATACAGACAAGGCATCCACAGAAACTTCCGCATTTTTTAACTTTCCTGTGAAGAGAGTCAAAACTGTAATATACCATATCTCAGAGCTGCAAAATTGCAAAGACTAAGTTAGATGAAGAAAATAGAATCGGGGTGGGTGGGGGTAAAATGGAGAAGCAGACAAATTAATAAACACAATGGCTCCAAGCGTATAAAGGACAAGAAGTCCATAAGATGAAAGTAGCAGAAACAAAGATGCTAAGATGTACGTTTCGTCATACTATAATGAATATGTATTACAAATGAAATATACACTAGCAAACGGAAATGTGGTCAATTGAAGAGAAATTAAGTGATTAACAATTTAAGAAGTTGAAACATGTTTGGCATTGGAGAGACTCCTCTTTTCAAGAATGAAGAATGTGAACCAAAAAATTCATGTAACAGACTCCACCAAGTCCACTTTATTAAGAATAAAGCTTAATTGCTTACCTGATCATCACAGCTGAGGCAACAGAAGTTTTTACAAACCCCCACAAATTTTCAAATGTCTTCCATGAAAATCCAGACCAAGCCTGACCACAAGTCCCAGCGATGATGTACATGAATTGAGCAATTGCAATGAAGCACCACGCGACATCCAGTGCCATGGCCGCACCCACTAGGCCCCACCCGAGTTTCAACATCAAAAACCAGCTTAAGAAAACATGTAAAACAAGTGCTGCTGCTGCTATTACAGCTATTGCCATGACCCTGCTTTGCGCCTGTAAAAATTTAGTCGTAGGAAGCATCATCGCATAGGCGAATTGCTGGGGAATCATCCAGAGCGAGAATTTGCCAGCCGCGGTCGAAATAGCAGTTGTCTGGCCTAAAAGTTCCAAGATTGGAGTGGCAAATATGAAGAGAGAAACCATTGCGAGTGTCATGATATTGAGTATCAGCCATGATCTTTGCATGTGTAATCCAAGCATATGTAATTGGTTTGCTCCAAATGCTTGCCCACAATAGGTCTCTAGTGCACTCGACATGCCCATCTGAATCAAAATCAGGTGCAGAATTCAATCGACTACTTCATCGTCTTACAACAATTAAAATTCAAGCCTTTTTTTTTCAAGAAATTTAGAGTCCGCTTCATGAATTCTTTTTCAAGGTTTTTTCAAGTTTATTAGTAATTCTATAGGAAGATCGAATGCGCTAACGAACTGTGTATTAAAGTTCATGTCATAAAGTTTTATAAAAGTGGTAAACTGACTATCAACCTTCATCAACTCAAAGGACCCATCTCTAAACGTTACATCTTTTACACTTCTATGACTTTTATATCATGGTATCGCTATCCTTTACCTTATATTTAGTCAATTAAAGAGCAAATTTGTCAAGTTAAAGAAAGCTTGAGATTATGAATGCTATAATAAGTCGGAGACAAAAAATAAAAGTTGGGAGATACAAATAACAGATATTGAACGTTAAAAATGGCCTGTACATAAATAATGATTTTGGTATGTGCATCACTGTCTAGTCGTCGGGGTCATCATCACCGCCACTGCAACCGCACTGCCACCATGGGTGGCAGCTATCAATAATAACAAATATAATAGAGATTTGCTACACGTACACCGAAGTTCAGGTGTACACACCCCCCTCACAAGAGGGGGCACAATTATTTTATTGGTTGTGGGCCCCCCCTCTCGTGAGGGGAGAGTACATTTAGCATTTCTCAATATAATAATAAAAGAAAAACTTAAGCATACCAATAGGCCAAAAGGAAATCCTGCAATGACAGAATTCTCCACTGAAACTGCAGCCAGTTGAATGGTTCCGATATGACCGGCAACCACCAGAGTGGTGGCTATGAGGCCATACTGGCAGAAGGAGGTGAAAATGGCCGGACCAGCAAGGTACCATAGCTTCTTTGATTCGGTGTAGAATTCTCTTACAAGATCAAAAACTCCATTAAGAGGACCAACCACGTCTTCATCGCCGGGAAATGGTGAAACAGTATTATAAATGATCTCTTTGGATCCTTTCTGGGTGTTTTCTTCACTCTTTACGCCATCGTGATCATATTTGCTGTCAAGGAGTGGTTCCCCAACTCCACTCGCCTCCATAGTGTTACTTTTACAAATGGAATATATTTGCTTGACACTTATATTATAGAGGCGGGTCAAAATATATATTTTATTGTGCAAGTATGCAATAAGAATAAATCTATATGTACATAATGAATTACATAGGCTTATGTGGAAGAAAACCGACCGTGAATGTGAAGTGTGAAAAAGTCAAAAATTGTAGACTATCGATGAATGCGCGCTACATGTCAATTATGTAATATATTATATAAATGATTATATACTTGTAGCATGATCCATGCAATAATTACCCAATATTTTGGGCTTTTTTTATTTTTTGTAAAAATGGTCCATATCATTTTGCAGGTACTACCTGCAATTCAAGACTTATCATTTGAATTTTGAATTAAACCATATGTACAAAAGAATTGTTTACTCAAGATTTACTAACTCTCACATGTATGGGATCCACCGAAATAAAAAATGAAAAAAAAAAAATCCAACCCCGCATTTGTGAGTTTCTGTGAACCCATGATTCTTGAATTTTGACAATCATGTCATGTTTGACAAGATTTACTAACTCTCACATGTATGGGATTCATCGAAATAAAAAATGAAAAAAAAAACCCACCCCGCATTTGTGAGTTTATGTGGACCCATGATTCTTGAATTTTGACAATAATGTCATGTTTGAACTTTTCATTTGCAAAATCAGTCCTTTCCATTCAGAATCATCAGATTTGACCATTAAATGTGACGTGTCTTGTGCATGGGCAATTTCATCCGGTCATAAAAGAATTATTCCGTACAGGATTTTTCTTGCAGCAAGTGCTTTTTTTTGTGAATTTTGACAAGAATTAATAATAATTCGCCTAGTGGAATTCTGTAACAATTTTGTTAAATGTTTTTCAATACGTGCAGCGTAACTCATCATAAGAAAAAGTAATTGCATCAAAAGCTCCAAACTTTTGAAACATTAGCAGATTTTTTCAAAACCTTTTATTTATTTCAGTCGTCACTCATAACATTTTCAAAAGTTGCAGTTGAAACCCTTTTGAACAGTTTCTATTCATAATTCTGTCAGTTGACCAAAAACTTAATTTTGATCACATTTTTAATATTTTAAAAATGGATAAAAGAATAACTTTTCATTTATCACATCAAATAATTAAATAAAAAATAAAAAAAACGCGCACACACAAAATCGTCTTCTTCCTCTCAACCCTCAACCACCCACCCCCAAAATCCACACTAACCACCTCTACCTCCACCAACCAACCCCACATGCCAAATTTTATTAACCAAATTGACAATACTTGAGTGCAAGAACCTATAGGGCAGAGCTGAAAATTCCATGCAAGAATTTTCATTTCACATATCACAAGTAATTATCAGACACTGCCCTGGGCAGAAAAATTCCCTCACAGCATGCATACAAACTGTGCTCAGTTTCCTTACCCTATCTCCAAAATGAAGCAAAAAATCCAAAAGAGAAAACTCATTAATCCAATAAATAGAGACAAGTTTCAGGTCATTTGCATCCCAAAAGTACCTCGAAACAGTTTCTAAGTGTCGGACAACAACTGGGAGGCTAACTTTTTCTTGATTACTACTGTTTTTGAGGTTGAGGTCGAGTTTTATTTTTTCTTCTTCTTGAAATTCATGGTTGAACCTGGAGGTTTTCAAAGAGTTTGAGAGAATTGAGAGTTTGAGAGAGGTTTTGGGTTTGAGGTTGGGTGGATGAGTGTTGAGAGGAAGAAGACGATTGAATGTGTGTGTGTATTTTTTTTTTCTTATTTTTTTTATTTAATCATTTAATGTAATAAATGAAAAGTTATTCTTTTACCCATTTTTAAAATATTAAAAATGTGGTCACAGTTAAATTTTTGGTCAACTGACAGAATTATGGATGGAAACTATCTAAAGGGGCATCACCTACAAAATTTGAAAATGTTAGGAGTAACGGCTGCAACAAATCAAAGGTTTTGAGAAAGACTGCTAATGTTTCAAATGTTTGAAACTTTTACTGTAATTATCCCTAAAAAAAATTAAAAGGTAGCCTTCTTCCTCATTTTCAATGACCAACGGCACATCCACGTTATATCCCCTTTGCTTCCCAGTTAGCCATGGCTGTGGAGCTTCAGATGAACCCAAGAAACGTTACCCTTGTTTGATCTCAATTTTTAAAAAATTAGTTTTTACAAATTCATTTTTAATCATATATTTTATGGAATCTACAACTTTTATAAATTTTTCAATCACACATTTTATCAAAATTTACTTAAAACAATTTGATTTTTAATTAAGCCAAACGGCAGCTTTGTTTCATACCATAAGAAAATGCAGCCATCTAATTGGAGAGGAAAAGAAGATCAATGTGCACTCGAGGAGGATCATTGACATTGAGGTAGAAGACTACTTATGCACCTTTATTTTTATTTTAAGTCTTCAACATTTTTTTTTTTAAACTCACATTCTCAATTTTTTTTTTTTTTGCATCTTTATCTTAAACATTCAATTAAATAGTATGTATTGTCTTCGATAACGATTATTGTCCAAATATTGTGCTAACATGTGTTAAAATGAAATGAGGCCTGATATGTTGTCAACCTTTTATAATTGTTTATTTCTTTTATTTGATAATAAGATATGTAATTAAGTTTTTTTTTACTTCTTAACAAATTTTTTTTGGACAAAAATTATCATTCAAAAGAAGATGTGCAAAATTAATAGAATGTTCATGATAATAATTTGACAAAAAAGCGTGGAACATAAGTGAGAATATGAACAAAGATTAGGGACATTTCTTGCAATAAAAATGGGATGTAGTTAACAAAAATGTTGTTAAAATACAATGATGATCGGACAAAATTGTCCTTTCTCAAATAAGACTTGAGCAAGAAACACCATGGTCTAATATTACGATTTAAAAAAAACGATTAGCATAATGGTTTACATGGGGAAATAATTTTCAAAATTCAAACTATAGGTAGAAATGGCAAATAGGTGCATTCGGGGCTTGATTCTCATTCTCTATCCTCATCCCATCCCCACTTATTTAGAGTCGGGTCAAAGAGGGACATGAATTCTCAATTCATGTTTATGACCTAGTTTATGATTTTTAAATTATAATTTAAGGGAAAATTGTAGTCGAGGTACCAAATATTTCACTTATTTGCAGACTTTGCACATACCTTTAATTTGTATCACTCACGATAATACGATATCAAACATTTAAAAAATTGCAGCTCAAGTCCAAATTGACGAATTCCGTTAGTTTGACATTAAAAACTATCAGTTGACCCCAAAAATAAAAAATTTAATAATTCTTTCCAAATTAGCTAAGGGTAGGGAGGCTAAAGGTATTTTGGACCTAATATATTTCTCATATTAAATTGATAAGTGCGTTTTGTGCACTATCCGGCCAACCCGCCGCCTGTCTAACCATAGGAAATTGCCCCTCATACCCGCCACCAAATAGTTTCCTCAATGGAACTCGAATTCTTAGAGTCTTCGAAGAACCCAAATTTCAGTAATCTTATTTCCATTCTCAATTTCAACATTTTCGAGCCGTAAATCTCTATTGAAAATGGGGAAAACTTGTCAGATCTGACCGTTGCAAAAGATTTCATCGACTGAAATTGGAGAAGAAAATTCAGCCACTTCTGCAACAAATGCAAATTCAAATTCTTCATCATCATTTTTATCTTCTATTTCTACACTTTCAGAATTTGCTTCTTCTTCGACTTTTTGGGTTGATGGACTTTATTTGTTTTTTATACAAAATTTATCATAAAATTCTTTAGAACTATTGAATTTTTCAACAACTCGAGCTGCGATTTCTGCAAGGTTATAGTTAGAGTAGCTATTGAAGCTCGGCGAAAGCGAGAGGTCCGGACCCGTATCCATTTCTAAGCTAAGCCCAATTGAAAACTTCTTGAAAATTGCCTTCTAAACTCTATAATTAATTTGCTATGATCAAAAAATACAACTGAAATCTTATTCGAAATTGCCTTGGAAACACTATAAGTCGCTATGTGAAAGGAAAATACTTTCGGTATGATGCAAGGAAGAGAACAGAAAAATCCAACTATGGTAAAACCCGGCGGGTTGAGGGTGGCTAGTGGTGGCAAACGAGCCGCGCCGGCTCATCAGCTCGTGGGCTCGGCTCGTTGCCACCGAGCTACGAGCTGCTCGGGCTCATCAAAAGACGAGCTCAAGCACGAGCCGAGCCTAGCTCGGCTCGTTTTTTCACGAACGGTTTGTCCAAAAACTCATTTTTTTTTAAAAAGGTATATCTTATTAATATAAAAAAAATTACCTGAGCCACGAGCTAAAGCTCGGCTCGGGCCATGAGCCGCACATGAGAAACAAGCTCGGCTCGTGACGAGCACGAGCCGAGCTCGTAGGTCAATGGGTCGGCTAGGCCCATTGACACCTCTAAGGGTGGCTTAGGCGGCAATTTCCGGTGGCCTAGGCGACGGGTATGAGGGGCAGTTTCCGGTGGCTTAGATAGGCGGCGGCTTGGCCGGAGGTTGTGATTTTATTTTTTAAAATTTTTTATTTAGTATGAGAAATATATTATGTCCAAAATACATTTACCTTATTTGGGAACAATTATTAAAATTTTAGTTTCTGGTTCAATTGACAATTTTTAATGTCAAACTAACAGAATCCGTCAATTTGGACTTGAGCTGCGATTTTGTAAAGGTTTGGTATCGTGTGTGGTACAAATTAAAGGTTTGGACAAAGTATGCAAATAAGTGAAAGGTTTGGTATCTCAGCTGCAATTTTACCAAAATTTAATTGACTTAAATATGATTTATTACATAAATTAAATTAAAATATTTTATAAATTACATAAATTAAATTATTGTTTTTATACTTTAATATAATAATAATTAATACTTTTATTAATTGGGTCAAGGATGGGGATGGGGAATGGGATTGGGACAAGGACCATATCCCTATCCACATCCAATCCCCGACTCGGGGTAAGGATTTGATCTTGTTGCCGTGTGTAACGATACGTGATACAG